TTGCCGCAGGAGCAAAAACCGATGGATTCAGCATGCTCACTGCAGTCCCTCCCACACCTGAAATAACCAATACCCCCCAGGCCTAAAACTTTTCTTAGGTGGAAGTATTTCTTCAAAGTGTTTTAACCAGTTAGCAGAGACTTCAGGAATGACTGACTGTAATCCACAAAGTTTTAGTACCTACTATTTTGATTCAAGAGGCCACAGGCAAAACACAAAAATATTACTCATTATTTGCTAATTAAAAGCCAAAAGCATTGAGAGTACAAATCAAACAGCTCTTTCCACGAAGATTTTTTCTCCGGTGTTAATCTTCTGTTCGACATTAGCTCACGTCCAGAGAGCAAAACTTTCCAAAGGAAAAAAAAAAAAAAATCCCTTTTTCTAAAAAGCCTTTCACAAAGGAAGCTTTTGCCCAAGTACACACAGGCAAACAAGATCAAAAGGAAAGCGGGGTTAAACAATCGTTCTCGGTTGTATAATAGGAGGAAAACACATCAATCGTGAGGCCCTACCCATGTTCAAGATCCCATTTCGGTAGCTGGTGGAAGGACAAACAACGTGTTGAAGAGCTCCTATTGCTTAACCCCTGCAGAATCGGGCTAGAGGGCTTTGCCACCCAGCAAGGCCGTTCCTTATTCTGGGAAGCTCTTCAGGATCACTAAAGCCCAGCTGATAGTCCTGGGAACACCTACAGGCATCATGCCTAACACTGGCAGCGCCTCAAAATCCCACAACATGAAACAACGCTACCGGTACCAAAAAAGCACAGCCAGCCTGCAGTCTCTCCCAGCTGGGACCCAACAAACTCATCCTGTTTTCTGTACTTCTAATGCGTTGAAAGGATTTAAGTGAAAGAAGCTGGAGGCAGAAGAGCTTGCTGGGGAAATCAGCCACCTCGAGAAAGGAAAGCAAAAAAAAAAATCTTTGGGAAGTTCCTTGAGGCGGCTCTGGCAGCGGAGCGGCTCTCAGCACACCAAGCTCCATCGCGCTGTGCAGACAGGGTCACCTCTGCACCTACAGAAGCAAAGGACGATCTAACAGGGACGTGGACAAGGGAATTATCCCCTCAGACTGGGCAAGGCTCATCGGAAAAAGCAAGCCAAGCAGCCCAGGTAAAACTCTGCAGTGCCCCATCCTCCTGCCTCCAGCGCAGCCTGCTCACTGGCGCACGCTTGGCACAAGACAGCTTTTATCCATCCCATCCCAATTCCACGGATGGAGAACTGAAACGGCAGCTCTCTTCCAGAGCCGTGGGACGAGCAGAAGCAACATCCACAGACCAGATCAAACCCCTGCTCTGCTCCAGCCACCCTTACCTTCAGCCTGCGAGGAACATGACAAGATCTCCTGGGTTGCCACGTCCTTGGCGCTGCATCAAGACCTACAGCCCTATGAAATGCATATCAAGAATCGCAGCTGACTGCAAGGCTCTGCTTCGGAACTGGAAGCAGCTCAGGGAACGCAGTTTGTTGCTGCAGGTCACTAAGCCATGGCAACGACTTCTAGGGGAAAAAAAAAAAATAAAAATCACACATTGTTTCAGGAACATCAAGGTCCTGCTCTTTATTAAGGCATTCTGACAGGGTGGCCTGACCTGGAGCTGCTGAGCTGCCCACCCAATTCCTGCCACTTCCCTTCTGTACTTTTTTCAGATCAAGCCCTTCCAAAGCTCAGGAATTCAATCTACAGCAGTGAAGGGGCTTTGAAGCCTCAGACAGGACTGCCAAAGGGGCAGAAATATATGCCAAACCCCACAGATATGCAACAACACGGGGACGACTGGGAAAACACTCAAAGGTCAGCACCATTTTCATGTCAGGGAAGGAAACCTCGCAGCAGATTTCCACAAGACAGCATTATATTCCTCCAAAAATATTTCAACAGCGGGGGGATGCACTCCTTTACGGGGCTACACCCACACTTCGTCTCCTGCCCCGGCCGAGCACCGGCCTGCCTTGCAAAGGCTGCGGTACCCCAGCTGCAGTGCTGGGGTGAAACCCTGCCTGGGACCCTCCCAGCATACGAGGGCTGTCCCTGTCACCGATCATCCTCAGGAACGGGGGAAATGCTTGGTCCAGGTATCGCAAACAGAACTGCAGCCTCCCAAGCCTGAGGTTCCTATGCCCCAGGTTTATCGGAAGGGAAACCTTCAAGATCCAGGCAGAAACGCACATTTCGGGTTTTGTTCTTTCTGCTACGAGCTTAGAATATTCTTCCCACTTGCTGCATTTCAACACTGCGAAGTCTCTCTATTTTGGTTGAGCTCTGTCTGCAACAGCTCCTGCCTACCAGGAACCCAAGCAGGGTTCTGCTTGGTCCTGCGACTTGGG